CTACTATCTCTGATACAATTTCTTAAAGCCTACCACTTTGACCAAGCTTTTGGTCATCTAACCAAATATTTCCTTATGTAATTTGGTATGATTTTATTTTTTAAGATAATGGCTCCTGAGAGCTCAAGATACTTTACTAATTTAAAGAGCTGTACAAGAATATAAAAGCTAGGAGCAGGCGTAGGCAATTCAGTCCCTTGAGCCTGTTAAACCCTTTGATGCAATTATGGATGTTCTCACATCAGCCTCAACTCCACTTCCCACTTCCCAAAACCCTTTAACCCATTTACTAATTAAAAATCTGTCTATCTACTCCTTGAATTTATTCATTGTCATAACATCTACCATGCTCTGAGTTAGTGAATTCCACAAGTTCATATCCCATTGAGAGAAGTAATTCTTCTTTATTTCTATTTTAAATCTGCCACCCCTAAATTTAAAATTATGATCTCTTGTTCCAGATTGCCCCACAAGGGAAAACATCCTCTCTATATCTACTTTGTCAATTCCCTTTTAGCATGTCATATACCTCAATTAGATCTCCTTTTATCCTTCTAAACTGTGGAGACTATAGGTCTAAGCTGCTCAACCTCTCCTCATTACACAAGCCTTTCAACTCTGAAATCAGTCCAGTGAACTTTTCAAAACTTCCTCCAATGCAGTTACATCCTTCTACATAAATGCAAGTTATTGATTTCATTGCAGGCAGGGTCTGTTTCCACAGAAATAAGAGATGGATGTTTTATAGTTTACATGCAGTATCTATACACATGACATGAAGCAAGTTGCAGACATGTTCTTCAAATAGTCAAAATAGAGTTTATCCCAACCTGGTAAGTCATCTTGCTTAATACCAATTAGAGCATGGGCACTGCCTTTGGCAATCTTAGACGTGGAAGCCACATAACCTACTCAATAAACAGAAGTCATATAAATCCATTGCATTGTCCACTTCAGATAAACCAAGCAAGCCGATGGGAAAGAGAGAAAACCACATATTAAGGCCATCATATTTTTTGTAGTGATTCATATTAACAAAATTTTGGAATGCTCGGATGAGTCAGAAACACTCTGTAATTTCAACCATGGTAAAGGTTAAAGTTAATCAACATTATCCATATTCTCTAAAGGGTCAATAGACCATAACAACGTAAGAAACCACGTCACGTAAGGAGGTGTTGGGACAAATAATGAAAAGCTT